CATGCTTTCATCGGAAGTCAGCTGTACTCTCAAGTAACTCGATTGAGTAGATTTGTCTCGATTCAGTAGATTTGTNAAAAAACATTAAGAAGCTATTTTCGTTTACCATAAAATAGAAGAATTTAAAAAGAATTAAAATTCAGAAAAAAAAATCCGAACCGCAAGAAGAGGATGACATGACTATCATATGAAAGGTCATATGATGCATTCAAATTTTCAAATCTGGAAATTTCATGCTTTCATCGGAAGTCAGCTGTACTCTCAAGTAACTCGATTGAGTAGATTTGTCTCGATTCAGTAGATTTGTCTCGTACAAATTCAAATTCAATTCAAATTCTCGTACATTCAAAACCAATTAAAATCTCTGTAACTTTATCTCACTCATATAAAACTTTCAGGGGCATACATCACAATATTTCCATCGTTTTCAATTTATCATTCATTTTATCAATTAGTATATCATCAAATCATAAACAATTCATAAAATAAAAAAATCAAAGTTATCTTCCTTATCGACAAATCATCACCATCATCATTATTATTATCATCAACATCATCAACATCAACATCGTCATCATAATTATCCCATCAATTTCTTCAATAAATCACCACATTCATCGATACAAATTGATTATTCCGCCAGCAAAGGAAAACTCTCCGGTGTGTTGATAACAAGATAAACTCGAAACCTCCGTCACGTATTTGCTTCAAGCCAGGTCTGAAAAAAGGAGAAGAATAAAAATCACATGAGAATGTTTTATTCAATGGAAAAATATTTTTCCAATATTTAAGAACAATTGATCTTTAACAACATCAATTGCAGCTAATTTTCATCTCTGTCCTTCTCTTTCTCATAGGAAAAAAAAGCTGTAGAAAATGAAATCAAGCAAATCATGTTTAATTGTCAAATATATCGTCTAACCAAGTGATACGATATAAATGAATCAAATCTCGTTTTGATGCTGGAGAATTGGAGAAATATTTGAACTTTTAATAAAGGAAGCAATTCTACTCTACGATTCACGAGTTATTGTTTCCCCTTTCTTTTCTCTTCTCTTTACGTTGTTCACGACTATCGACTTTTTTTTCCAAGAAGCTAACGAATGTATGTAAACACGTACAAAACTCGATAACTTTAAGATTATTTCTTTTCTTACTGTACTTTTTTATTACGTCGAAGGATTTATATTGAAAGAAATCTACTTACATCATTTCCACCAGGAAGACAACGAAATGTCGCTGCAGTTATTCACTGCAGTTATTAATAATAATCCACCAGGAAGAAAACGAAATGGCACTGCAGTATTAATAATAAAAACCTCTTAATTTTAACACACTTCAATTCTTAATTTTAACACAATTTTCTCCTCTTTATTCATTAAAATACACATCGATATTTCTTCTCTCCCATAATATTCTCACACTCCTATAATAATATTCTCAGATCTATAACGCGCGCGGTTGCGCGCGTTCACGAACAATTGGCGCTTTAGTGCTGAGGGCCAGTTTTTGGATTAGGAAACCACGGTTAGACCTCGGTTAAAGTTAAGTGAATCGTGGCGCTATTGACTGGATCGTGCATTTTATGCACAAGGCAAAAATCTTCGAGCTCAAAGCCCTGAAGAGCTCTCTTCGTATCAAGAGTACATGAATAAGAAATTCCGTTAAATCATTGATTTTGTTTCTGAGTTCATGTTTTTCAATAATTGAATAATCATTCATTACTCGAGATGAAAATCAAAGAGTTATTGTTTTCTGTCCATATCGACAGCTTAGTAACAGAGTCATGTAACTACAAAAAACCATCATTTCCAGAAGTAAAGTGACGTATTTCCAAAAAATGCGCTATTTATGCTCAGTATTGGAAAAATCATCGAAATAATCATTTTCATTTTTTTTTGATCAGAGCAACATATCTTCAATCATTTTCGTTCAAACAACCGTAAGTCCCATTCACGTTCGTTTGTTCCAAATAGATGTTAAACTTTCAAATCATCAAAAAAATGGAAAATGTACGCACTTGTGAGATACGTTGTTATGACCTGTAGGTGTAACAAATAAACGTATCTCCCACAAACCGTTCCAAAATTATTTAATTATGAATTAACATATCGACAGCTTAATAACAGTCCCATAATTACCAAAAACGGCCATTGCCAGTGGTAAATGATGTATCTCTAAAAAATGCGCTATTTGTGCTCGGTATTAAAAATCTCATCGAAATAATTATTTTCAATTTTTTTTTGAACAGAGCAACGTATATCCAATCATTTTCGATTAAACAAGCGTAAATCCCACTCACGTTCTTTTATTCCAAATGAATGTTACACTTTCAAATCATCAAAACAAACAGGGGGCAGCGAGCATATAATATGTCAGTGAACATATAATGGTGAACATGTCACTGAGTGATGTTCCAATGCTTTCTCACGAATGAAAAAATCCAATAGAAAACCTGCGAATTCGCTAGAAAATTTTATTAGAATTCTATAG